TGAAGCTTTAGGTAAATATATTTCTTTTTACTTCGAAATTTTTCTAAAATCCTCATGGAGATCTACTAGAGATCCCGAAACCATTTTCATCGAATTCCGCATAGTTTTTAATCTATTCTATCTTATTTCTACGAGTTTTGAACGAGAAATGTATTTTTTATTGAACAATCACTTGGCCGATTTTAGAGTGTTCCTATTGTAGACGTCTTTTCTGAGCGCAGAAAAATAACATAAAATAAACCGAACCATATTTTTGTTGTTCGTCAAACGGCACTTGGAATGACGTATGAATCAAAACTCTATCTATCAATAGAAAAACGAAATAGGATTGCAAAATTAGATAGTACAGATAGAGAAACACTGTAGTACGGCTTTCCAGATTGAACATGTAATATGTGATAAAGTTCTAGATAATATTTCTAGATTCATTTTTATATAAGGAATCCGAAAATCAAATTTTGTGACAATGAGAAGGGGAATGGCAAAGAAATAAATGTTGTTTGTCTATAACTAATTTTTTTGCTGATTTCGAGACCCTTTCTCAGTACTTTGTATTTTTCTCTATGAAGATTTCGTTAAATCGAAAAAGTAAGTAGATATTCGTGATCAGCATGAAAAAATCGAATCTAGGAATGTATGTTTAAGCTAAAAATAATAAGTGCTGTAAATTTGAATTACTGGCGCTTTACATTATAGTTCTTACTGTTGACAGTGGGGCACTTAGAAACTATTAACATGTAAAAACATTATCCAAATCGATCAACGAGAAGGAAAGTTATTAGATAAATGTAGCTAAAATTTCAATTGTACCAAAAGATTGTAATTTACTCATATGTTTTACCATTCCAAAATCTTTGGATTATTGATTAACAAGTAACGATATCTATTGAAACGATTTATCACTCTTTGGTTTGTCTGTAATTGGTAAAAGATGGACTGATGGATTTGACTGCACTTTTATGACGTGATGAAACATTCTTGGGATTAAAATTTAGTAGAACCTACTAATGTTTGTCTCTTCATTGAGTATTCGTCATTTGTTTAATAATATAATTATTGGATTAAATAGTAAACAATTATTAATTCAAAGTAACTTGATAATATTAATTAATAAATATTAGATTATTCTGCTAGGTACGCGTTTTGTTCGATATCAAAGTCAATTAAATGTAGCTCGATCATCATATCAATTCGATTCAGCTCTTGATAAATTTCCATCAAATGAAAATGACCAAGAATTGGGTTTATTCAAACATTTTAACATTAATGAACTGACACAAAAACGACTACAAGGTTTTTTTTTATTCAATTAACAATAATAAATGAATCGTTTTTCTAATTAAATTTTAGCTCGAGATGTTAAATATTTATTTCCTGTTCAATATCGTTCATATAATGATATCATATCTGGAAAAGATTGTATTGTTCAAGCGCGTCAGTTTATAGTTTTTAAAAATACTTTTCAATATATTTTTTTCTATATTTTCAAGGTACTGGAACAGGAAAAACATTAGCATTTAGTCTTCCAATAGTTGAACGTCTTCAAACTGAAATATCAAATGCATGGGGTCGTTATCCTCGTTGTTTAGTATTAGAACCAACTCGAGAACTTGCCAAACAAGTTACAAATGATTTTCTTTCGATAAAATCTCGTTTACTTTCGATATCAACACTTTATGGTGGAAAAGAATATTCTCGACAAGAATTATCATTAAAAAAAGGTTCAGATATTGTTATTGGTACACCTGGAAGAATTAAAGATTTCTTAAATCAAAAAAAGCTAAATCTTCAACAAGTTCAAATTATTGTTTTAGATGAAGTTGATAGAATGCTTGATATGGGATTTCAAGTAATATTTTTTTGTCGTATGCTTTGAAACTTTTGTAATAAATTTTTTCGTTTTAGGATGATGTTGATTATATCATAAAAAGTATTCCTCGATCTCAAATGATTGTATTTTCTGCAACTATACCTTTATGGTTAAAAAAAAGTGTATCTCGTTATATGTCACCAACAAATAAATCATTTATTAATTTAATTGGTGATTCACAAGAAAAAACCGCTGTGAATGTCGAACATTTATCATTTAAATTAAATAATTTTTCTAAAAGGCCAGAAGTTGTTTTAAAATTATTGGAACAATATTCGAAAGATATAAATCAAAGTCAAGCAATTGTTTTTTGTCAAACAAAACATGAATGCGATTTATTGTCAAGATCAAATGAAATGAATTCAATCTCATCAGATGTTCTTCACGGAAATCTTTCACAAAGAAAAAGAGAACAAGTTTTACAAGTAACAAAAAAAAGAAATATTTTTGTTTTTATTAAATTTTTGTCAATATTTTAAAGAGTTTTCGTCAAGGTCAAATTCGTGTATTAATAACAACAGATGTTTCAGCACGTGGTCTGGATATTCCACAAGTTGATCTTGTTATTCTTACTTCACCACCACAGGTTTTTGCTTTGATTTATTTAAATAAATATGTACATCGATTTATAAATAAAATAGGATTGGGAGTCATATGTTCATCGATCTGGTAGAACAGGACGAGCTGGAAGACAAGGAAAATCGATTTGTGTTTATAATAATGATCAATTTAAACAATTAAAACTTATTCAAAGAAATGCTGTATGTTCCTTTCTGTTTGATTTCGCTTCATTTTTTAAAATAATTTATTTTAGAATATTCAATTTACTAATATTCATCCAGATTCTTTTCATGAACAAATTTCAATGAGAAAATAAATGATTAATTAAAATTGTTTGTTTAGAACCGTTAACAAATCGATTCTGTTAGTAGATATACAATAGCAACATTGAAAACACAAATATTTTGTTTTACTTCAGTTCGATGAAACATCAATGAAGAGAATTATATTTTGAATAAAATCCAACAGTAATATAAAGTTTATTGTTTTTTGTTTCATTCAAAATAAAATATGAAAAAAAGCAAATATTTAAGTTTGATTGATTGATTGATAATCCAGTATCAGATGAATGTGATTTTTGGACATGTCCATTGTGGCACTGATGCTACCGCGGGAGAAATTTTAACAACACCATCGTGGCAGTGGCTGAATTTTCTTTTTGAGGATATTGCAAAACTTGATGAATTTGCACAGGATTTGAGTGCTCACAAATGTATCACTCAGAGACTAAGTGAATCTCATGAATTCATAACAATAGTCCTCATTCAGTACAGTATTACAGCAGTGAACCATAGGACCAATCGATGCAAAAATTGTGCTACTTTATAGAGAAATGCTTCACCCCATATTAAGCCATACATATCAAAGAGAAATGAAACGAAAGAATGGAAATTTCTCGAAGTCTTTTTGACTTCTACGTATGCATGAAGATATGAATGAAGCATTTTTCCTTGACTTCATGTGAAGTGAAGGATTTCTGCTTGAAATGAAGCCATTTCCCATTTTTTGTAGATATGGTCCACCTCTCTTTCTATGGTAAACAATTTTGTCTAAATAAAAAAAAAGGGTTTCTTCATAGGAAATAACGGTTACTCTTCGTAGATATTGTCTAAAAGCAGTAGCATTGCGTATCACTATCATATTATTTCAATGTTTTCTTTCGTTCTTAAAGGGTGTGGGTGTCGGGGTGAGTGTGGCTGTGAGCATGGCGGCGGGTATGGGTGTAGGCATGGCTGTGGCTATGGGTGTGACTGTGGCTGTGGGTGTGAGGGTATACATCGGATTTGGTAGTCTAAGGCTCACATCCACATCCACCCTCATAATATGCGACCTATAAAAAAGTTCAATTCTATTGTACTAAGCCAAGACGAATAGAGGTTTGTAGAGAATTCGACGGCGCATCTTTTGAGAAAAATATCAACTTATGATCACGTTTCTGAAGAGAGTTACATGTAAAACAAAAAATGTCGCAAAACTTTTGGAACAGTCGGTAGATAACAGCCCTCTTTGCCATTTAATTCAATGTTTATAATAATTAAAATGTGAAATTAAGAAAAAAGAATAACGAAAATAAAAAATAACGAGCGAATAGTAACAATGAAAACGAAAAATAGGGTGCTCGGCAAAAAAAATTCTTAATTTAATGAAGCTGAAGAGCATATGTGAGTTCCACATTTCAGTCCCAAAGGGACTGCGCTAATAAGCTTTTTTTGTACATCGATGCTCATAGTAAAATGTTCCTAGATATACAATATGTCAATGAAATAGAATGAAATTTTATGTGTATGTAGGCGAAATGTAGAGCTACAAAAAGATGAAAATCTGGACTCGTAAGGTTATTTCATTGCTAAGTTATGAAATTTATACAGAAGACAGAACGCAAGCATCACTATTCTATTATGCTTCATGGCATTGTGGCATGGATTTTATTGCTGATCTGCATTCATCGAAAACTATATATATACACAGTTTTAGAGTCAAGACTTCGCTAGCAACTGAGATCGGACAGGAAGAAGAAAGTGAATGGGTATACTTTTGACCAATAATGTAATTAGACTAGTTTAACATCCTCAACTTCATATAAAGTTTGATGTTAGATCGATATGAAAGCATGATTATAAATTGCATAGCGAAGTTGTTGCCATCAATAGTTGATCTATCTCTATCGACAAAATTTTGGTACGATCGTAACTAGTCTTATTTTCAAATTGCAATGCGTTCCAATGTACTAAAGGCGATTAAAATTGGCAGTGTAACTACTGTATACGATGTGACACAGATTAAGAAAGAGAAATCGCAGAAACAGCAATGTTTGAATTAAAATTTTTAACATAGACGTGATAGTACTGATCGCAAATTGATATACGAGTAGCGAATTTCATCAGTAGGAGAAACGGAATATTACTTCAGTTTTCAGTTGTGAAAATATACAGCTGAAAACAGAGCAGTATTAAGAAATAATTTCACGAGAAACTCAAACTATAGCACATAAATAACATCCGAAGTTCAGTTAGAAAACTAAAAATAATCAAATGTCCTTCTGCTATGCATAAGAAGATCCATTGCTGTGTCAATGAGAAAGATCATTGGTATTCAATGGAGGTTCATAGAAAGCTTGCTGATTTTGATCTCTTCGTCTTAAGATTGGAAGTGCAAATAAAATGGCGCCGCTGAGTGCTACCAAGCTACCAAACAAAAAATAAGGCCAAAGAAATGGGCGGGCATGCGCTTCAAATGCATCGCGCATTGCTCCTAGTAAATGACGAAAGTCGTAGTTCAAGCCATACGAATAATATCTACTCACCAGCAGCAGGAGTACCTATGGCAGTTGCAACTCCTTGAAAGAGTAGAATAATACCCATTCCATTGGACAATTTATCTATACCAACAAGATCAACAGTAATGATCGATGTTAAACCAACATAACCGCCAGTGAAGAAACCGAAAAACGTAGCATAAATTAGATGGGGGAGAATATGAGAACCACTATATGGAGCAAAGATTGCGGCGACACCGGCTATGATTAATGTTGAATTGTACAGTGTCAATCGATTAACCTTAAAATAGGTTCAATTGCATTATATATTGTTTTCTCGAAAATTCTTTGAATTTTTCTTTTATCATACCCATTTTAGATCTGCTAAATACCCAATAATAACATGGCCGACACAGTGAGAAAGCCCAATTGCCATTATAACAAATTTTCTATAATCTTCCTCAACATGTGAATCTTTTGCAAGATCATGAGCAAAATTGTACGGGACAAAAAAGCCAAGGCTGGATATAAAGTTCGATATTGTAAAGAGAGTAAATGAGGCATTTCTGAGTAGATTTAAATTGACTTGTTCTAAAAGTGAACTAATGATTGATTCAGTTGGTTGGTCACTTTTATTCGTGGTTTCCATTGAGTGCTTCACATTGCTGATTATCGTTGATCTGACTCTTGTCTCATTAGGATAAGATTCAGCGATGAGTTTATTAGGTAAAGATACGCGCCTGAGACTACCCTGATACAACGAACTATTTTGGATTGTTACTAAAGAATAACGATGTGGTGATGATAGATATGGTCGAGACTCCCAGACACGATCATTCTGATTATTAGCATTGCCATCAATACAAGAAGTATTTTGAAATGGTATAGTAGTGTGCCGTCTATCTTCGGGTAAGCGTCTTTGTTCATTGGGAACATTATTGGCAGACGTCATTAGGAATGGTAAACTAAACAAATAAATGTTATCATGAAAAAAAAAGAAAATAGTTCGATTTTGTGAACTAAAGAATGGGCTCTAAAATTTTTTTAGTGTCTGCTTTTTTGGTATGTTATCATTTACCACAAATTGTGATACCCTAAATCAATCCCTAAATCGAATCCATATTTATGGATAATGAAATCGAAAGTGATGAGCAATTATGGATTTTGATTTAGAGATTTTTTAATTTAGAGATTATTTTCTTAGAATACAATGTCTCTCCTCCCCCCCCCCCCTCCCTACATCATAGAAAAACTTTCCGCACTTACAAAGGATGCTGTAATTTATATCGAAATTTATTTTCATTTCAGACCTGTCGTATTGATTCATCGATTCATTTGTTTGATTATTTTGAGTATTAATGTTGGACTTTTGATTTATAATTTGTCTTGTCATTTCGGATCTTGCCTTTAATCGTAGACGACGTTGCTCACTCGGTTCTATTGGTAAAGGAATCTAGAAGATATAATTTCAATACTTCATTAAATTAAATTAATTAAATACCATAGTGAACCCATACAAGACACATGTTAATATCAGAGCCGATTCAAATAAAAGACCATTTTTATAATCATTCAAAAAGAATTTATCTATCAACCAAGGCATCACAAATGGAAATGCGACTGTACCCAAACCTGATCCACAAAAAGCTATTCCCATAGCAAATGAACGTTTTTCTTCAAAATAATATCCAACAGAGACAATTGCTGGTAAATAGATAAGTCCGCAACCGATACCTCAAGATATTTTCATAGAATTAATATAATTCATAGAACAACGAAAAATATTTATCATTGATCATACCTCCGATGATACCTATGGTAAGATAATAATAATAAACACTGAAGTACCATCGGCTAAGAAAGAAGCCAATCGACCCCAGAATAGAACCAATTATTGTCATCCGACGACATCCAAATGTGTTGGTAAAAACTGTTGAAATAGGTGCTAAAACAAAACGATAAGAACACATTGCAATATGTAACATTTTTTATAATTAAGTATTTCTTCTCACCTGAACCTAAAGTAATAGATTCCAACAATGAAAATATAGCTGAGACATAAGCACGATTCATATTAGCATTTGATAACATTCGTTCCAAATAGACATCACCCATTGAATATGTTATTCTATTTTGTTACTTATATGTATATATATATATGTATGTTCATAGAAATAATGTGTAAATATTTACCCGTCCATGATAAAATGAATCATAAAAGATGAAAAGACAATAATCCATCCCCAACCACCATCGGGAACGCTTTTCACTCGTGTATCATTTCTATTCGGCATATTTTATTAATTGTACGGTTTCTTTTATTAAGTTTGTCTTTGCTATTATCAACGTTTTGCTCGAAAGACGAAGCAAGATATATATGAAACGATATATACGTTCAGATTACGAACAATAGAACAAGTGTTTTGCTGTTTCTTGATTTTATTAAAAGATTAGATCTATGAGCATAAAAATAAGTATTGTTTTATTGAGACATTATTTCGTATTCTTGTTTTTTTTCTTTATTATACAAGAAGAAAACAAACATCAGAGGTAACAAAACATGGTAAGATTCTTCATGTCAAGAAGTACGAACTGATTCTGGCAGAAAAACACAGAAAATCGGTGGACCGTGGAAGCAATATTCCGACCGAAGTTTGTTGGACTTCTACAGTGGATTCTGACCAATTTCCTATGCTTTTCGGCAGAAACCAACGGTGAATTATCGAAAAGAATCTGAAAAATTTTCGACCGGAATATTGCTTCCATGTTTCAGCCATTTTTCGTGTTTTCTCTCAGGATATAGTGGCTTTTTCTACGTCTTTCCTGTCAATTTCTGCAGTATTCATTGTCCGAAATCATTGACCAGGGCCGACATCCATGAAAAGAATTATTAAAATATCTATTTCGAGTTGATTGCTTGAAGAGAACTATATTGACATATAAGTTAATCTCGATTAGAATAAACTAAAAGACATGATACTTGTTTGTTTTTATCTAATGTATACTATCTATGAAAACTATTCCAGAGTTCATTTTAAATAAAAACAAAAACAAAGAAAATTTCCTAACAAAAATCACATCCAATCGAATATCTTCGATGAAACTATTTCGTTAAATAATTTTTTTCTTTCAATAGAACAAATAAAAAATAAGAAAAACTAACCAATGTGAAGTTTCTAGGCCTTATTGTCTTCCCATAATTATCTCTCTTATCTCAATTGACGTCATTTAAACAAATAATAGAAAAAAACAATAAACATTTTCCAAAGAAAAATCTAGTCAATTTTTCAATTGTTCTTTTGTTTTTGAATGATCACATTAGATGAGAAAAGAGATTTTTTTTTTCTATAGCTAATAAAAATTCAGTTTTCTAAACATAAAAACTCAAGATTCAAGAAAATCTAAAGATTAGAATCGAATTTCCTTCAAGAATATGAAAATTATTTTCATTTGAAAAAAATGTTCAACGAATTTCTCATTGATAATAAATATTCGATTCAATTATTCAATGTCGAAAAAAACAGACGCAAATAACAACGAAAAAAAAACTCTTCTATAGAAAATTTTTCAAGTTAAATGAGATTTATTTTTCACATTAAATATTTTTTTTTATCTTCGATTAGAAATCAGATCGTGTAAAAGAGTTTGATTGAAAAATGTTTCAATATTCGAGTTATGATCTTTTTGAATAAGAAGAAAATCATCGAAAAAAATTCTATTCTCATTCAATATTCATTCAACGTCCTAGAAGAATGATTGTTGATATATCTATGTTGTTTCTCTTCGAACTCAAACATATTCCTAGAAGATTTATTGACGAGAATATTTTCTTCGAACAATTCATATCTCATTATTTCAGTTAACTATCGAGAAAATCAACGATATTACTTCGATTGACTATTTAAATTTATTAATCATTCATTGTAATCTAATTATATATTATTTTCTTTTTTTCATAGATCTATTTCTCTTTATTATACTTTATAATAATTATTTCTATCATATCTTGATATTATATTTGTTTATAATCAAGATAAAACAAATTTTTCTTTTTTCCGTTTCTCGTATCAATTGGTGCATCAATTTAACATATTTGTTAATTAAGATATTTGAAGTATTTCTTATTTCATAAATAAAATATTGTTTTCGATAAATATTCTAAATTAGTTGAAATATTTCTATTGAAAATCTTGATGTAATTTTTTTATCAATGCAAAGATAAAAAGTATTTGCATATAAAATCGTTTGATTCATTTCAAATAATTATTTCCATTGAAAAATTTATCATACTTTCGTCATTTTTTTATTATTTATTTCAATTAATGAAAACAAAATAAAACAACATTTGAGAATGAACATATTTTATGCATAAATTTGTTCGATTTCAATTTATTAAGTGTATATCTATAAAAAAAAATTTGTCATATGAATATGAACTAAAGATAAATTTCTTATTCGAAATAAAACTGACATTTATCATTAATTTAAGAAAAAGAAACTATTTCTACTTTGACTTATTCGAAAAAAGAATGTGATTTCGATGATCGAGAAAAATCGTTTTCATTGATAATTATCTAACTGCACATAAACCGATATGGGCTTTATTTAATGAATTTTTATCGAATAGAAAATTTTTTTTCATTTTTCATTTGATTTGTTTAAAGAACTAAACAAGATTTCTCATTTATTTATACTAATAATCTTAATCATATAAGAATAAATCTTGTGTGTCGACCTATAATTAATTATCTAAGAAAGATTATTTTTAATTGCTTTATTAGGAAATAATAAATAAGAAAAACATTGTCGAATTAGACAATTAGTACAGATTCGAATTTGATTATGATCATTTAAGAAAATATTATTGGAACATATTTATTAATCGAAAATTCGGATAGAAATAAATTTACAAAGAAAAACTTAAATGTAAATTAAATATGTTATTCTAGAATTGAATAGTCAGATTGATTATTCAATTGAATCTTGAATTTCCATTGAAATCAAGTTAAATATGAATCATAATCGAGCAATCGCATCGAATATTTTTAGAAATCTAGATAAAAACTTGAATATTTATCAAACTGTTTATTACGAAGAATTTCAATATTTAACAAATAATTTTCTCATTTAATCGATATTTATTCTATAGAATTATTCTTATGTTCTTCTTAATTTTTTTTATTGATATTCGAGATTAGACTATCAAAAATTTCTTATAAAACCTAGACAAAGCGACTTTTATACATAATCTAACTTAAATAAATATTCATATTGATCATTTTATGTTAATATGACTAAAAGATAACATTGAAAACATTCGATAGAACTTGTCGAAAACTTCTCCAAAGCTAATTGAGTCCTAAAGAGAACATAAAATAATTTATTCGATTTTAGTTGTGAAGAATTAACTGCAGAAATAATCTCTCTTTTTATTCAAATAAACATGTCAATTTCGAATTTCTGACTAACACACAAACATTTTCATATGTTTAGTTTCTCACATGAATTATTTCGTATTTTAAAAAGAATTTTTCTCAATAAAATCTGAACAAATTGGAATATATGTCTATAAATATTTGTTCACATCAAAAAGATCTTCATTCAACAATAGATATGAGAAAATTTCTTATTGTTAAATATCGAAATATCTAATCATTTAAATATTCATCTATTTTTTTTCTTACCAATATTTGTCTTGAATATAAATTGAAAATCAATAATAAAAATTCGAAAACTAAATCTAAAAGAGAAAACGAATATTTTATTTATTTTTATAAAGAAATTCAATAAAATTAATAATTATTTGTTTTATTGAATATAAAAAACAAACGAAAATATCTTACGAAATCTGTTGAATAGACATCGTAATTCGTATCATTTAAGATTTAATCTGAAAAAAAGAATATTTGAAGATTGTAAATTGATTGTTAAATATAAAAATAAAACTGATTAAAAAAACCAGATAAATATTTAACTAAAATATATGATTAAAAATTTGTTCGATGAAGAATACGTGTTTACCTACGTTGCATGTTTTTCTTATCTGTTATCTTTTATCTTGTCTTATACTGAAGCTGGTGAAGTTTTTTATGAATTCATATTAAAATCTATTAAGATTATTTTCATCATAGATCATGTTTCATTCAACAAAAATTCTTTTAAGAAAAAAAAATTTGAACTAATTCAAATGAATTTTGTAAACTCTTGAAGAATATTGTTTTAAATATATTTATGAGATTTTCAATTAATAAAGTGACATACCATTAAATATATTATCTAATAGGTTTTTATTAAAGAATATTTTGTTTAGTCAATTAATAGAAAAGCTTTTATTTAGAAATAGTTTCGAATATTTTGTTTTGAGAATCTTGAAACATAAATTCTTTCAATTGAACAATCGATTCGATTTGTTTTCTTTCGAATAACGAAAAATTTGATAATTTATTTTGAAAAATAATTTCGAAATTACTTCTATTTGAAATTTCTTTATATAAAATATCTTTGGTAGAATCGATTTTATTATTTTCTTATACTATTTTCATTTACTTAAACGATTTCTTTTTCTCATTTTTTATTGAAAATATACTCGAAATAATATCATTTTTTAGAATATATTAATTATTAAATATGTTAAAACTATTTATTTATTTAAAAATAAATAAATAAATAAATCAGGTAATCAAAAACAAGACAAAGAAAATTAATTTAGCGTTGAATTTTATAGAAAAATGTTGATTTTATGGTAATATTCGAATATTGAATAAATAGAAGTTAAACTTTAATATAAATCATTGGCAAATATCTGTTAAATATTTTGAATTGATATTGATCTCATCGCGTCTCGTCTGTTAGAGTGAATAAGATATTTTGATAAAATGAATATAATCTGTTTCAGCATAAAGAAAAATATCTATTGATTGAGTCTATTTTGTTCAATATTTAGGTCAGGAGGTACGGGCTGATTCCGACAGGATGTGGCAGCAGTATTCTGACCGGAAATTTTCGGATTTTTTCCAGTGGATTCTGACCAATTTCCTGTGCTTGTCGGCAGAAATTAATAGTAAATTATCGACAAAAAATCCGAAAATTTTTTTGCTCCGAATACTGCTTCCATG